TCGGCTCTTTGATGGTCAATAGGACAATGAAGCTGTATACAGAGTCGGCTCTTTGATGGTCAATAGGACAATGAAGCTGTATACAGAGTCGGCTCTTTGATGGTCAATAGGACAATGAAGCTGTATACAGAGTCGGCTCTTTGATGGTCAATAGGACAATGAAGCTGTATACAGAGTCGGCTCTTTGATGGTCAATAGGACAATGAAGCTGTATACAGAGTCGGCTCTTTGATGGTCAATAGGACAATGAAGCTGTATACAGAGTCGGCTCTTTGATGGTCAATAGGACAATGAAGCTGTATACAGAGTCGGCTCTTTGATGGTCAATAGGACAATGAAGCTGTATACAGAGTCGGCTCTTTGATGGTCAATAGGACAATGAAGCTGTATACAGAGTCGGCTCTTTGATGGTCAATAGGACAATGAAGCTGTATACAGAGTCGGCTCTTTGATGGTCAATAGGACAATGAAGCTGTATACAGAGTCGGCGCTTTGATGGTCAATAGGACAATGAAGCTGTATACAGAGTCGGCGCTTTGATGGTCAATAGGGCAATGAAGCTGTATACAGAGTCGGCTCTTTGATGGTCAATAGGACAATGAAGCTGTATACAGAGTCGGCTCTTTGACTTAGTTTAAAAAAAAAGAAAGACTTTTAAAAACAAAAATAGGACTGTCTTTCGAAAACGAGTTTAAACCCAGTAAAAAGAAGAAAATAATAAGAAGAAAACATTCTCTAAATGCATTACGCACAGCAGATTTGTGCAGAAGTGTAGATGAGCACTCTGAATAGCCAAAGGATTCCAATTAAATGTAGACGTAACTTAAATTTCTTTCAGTTTTGATTAATTTATTTAAAAATATTTTCTGCACAGACTTTCTTTTGGAAATGCATTTTAAGAAATTTTAAGTTATTTTATTCCTTTAAGGGTTTTTAAGCTTTTCGAAAGACAGCCTTGAAAAAATTGTAAACAAAACAACAACATATCATAAGATGTTCTACTCTTTTTTTTTCTTAACCATCGAATGGCTACAAACCCCTGGTTAAAGTGACGCAACGCTGTACCTAGACATAAAACTAACAACACCAGAGTTTAATTTAGGGGAAGGCAGCGGAAAAAAATCTTGACCCATCCCGAGAGCAGTAACCCTAGCTGCACATTACACAGCTACTGCGGACGGTTTAGACAATGTCTCTTACCAAACACTCCCCACTCCACAATATAGTGACAGCCACGATATAACGACATCCACGATATAACGACATTCACGATATAAGGACATCCTCGATATAACGACATCCACGGACATTCACGATATAACGACATCCACGATATAACGACATCCACGATATAACGATATCCACGATATAACGACATTCACGTTATAACGACATACTCGATATAACGACATACACGATATAACGACACCCATAAGACAAGGTATTCATGATAAAGACACCTTGAATTACCGCTTGTCTGGCTAGAGAATGATTTCGAAATGATCGCTGCTTTTGAGAAGGCGAGGTCGGGGTAAAGGGGGGGGGGGATGAGGGGCATGGGGAGTACTCTTTTTCAAATTGTCACTTAATATAAACCTGTATGCACTTATTCGGTGGTCCTATTTTGGCAATCGTTCTTACCCCGAGGCGCTTAAGACGTAGAGTAAATAGCTTGTTTATAACTATAACAGGGCTTAGCTGCGTGGGCATGAATCTATCACCTTCACATTTAAATGGGTGATCCTGACAATTTAAAATATAGCTTTGGCTGATTCGGGCAAACTCAAAAAAGCAAAAAAACAAACATGACCATTAATATTTTATTTTCTTCTTCTTATGCCGTAGGACGTAGCCGAGTTTCCATGGCAAATTTTGACCGCCTTGTAGCTTACATATATTGGAGCATTTGTCTTGTTTTCCCACCAACCTTTGCAGTCATAGTTTGACATGGGTTAACCTTCGTTGGCTGACATCGTAAATAAGAAATAAGAGTTGCATTTTAAAAAAAAAATAAAGAAACCTTGGATAATGGTTTACCCGACTTCTCATGTCCAGATTCCGCAGTTATTTAAGGCGATCAGAGAAGCATCTAAAGACATCCACAGCAAGCCGCCAGAGACTGCTGCCGCTGCACAGCCCCCAGGGGTCGCCCCGGGATCNAGGTATTCATGATAAAGACACCGTGAATTACCGCTGGGCTGGCTAGAGAATGATTTCGAAATGATGGCTGCTTTTGAGAAGGCGAGGTCGGGGTAAAGGGGGGGGGGATGAGGGGCATGGAGAGTACTCTTTTTCAAATTGTCACTTAATATAAACCTGTATGCACTTATTCGGTGGTCCTATTTTGGCAATCGTTCGTACCCCGAGGCGCTTAAGACGTAGAGTAAATAGCTTGTTTATAACTATAACAGGGCTTAGCTGCGTGGGCATGAATCTATCACCTTCACATTTAAATGGGTGATCCTGACAATTTAAAATATAGCTTTGGCTGATTCGGGCAAACTCAAAAAAGCAAAAAAACAAACATGACCATTAATATTTTATTTTCTTCTTCTTATGCCGTAGGACGTAGCCGAGTTTCCATGGCAAATTTTGACCGCCTTGTAGCTTACATATATTGGAGCATTTGTCTTGTTTTCCCACCAACCTTTGCAGTCATAGTTTGACATGGGTTAACCTTCGTTGGCTGACATCGTAAATAAGAAATAAGAGTTGCATTTTAAAAAAAAAATAAAGAAACCTTGGATAATGGTTTACCCGACTTCTCATGTCCAGATTCCGCAGTTATTTAAGGCGATCAGAGAAGCATCTAAAGACATCCACAGCAAGCCGCCAGAGACTGCTGCCGCTGCACAGCCCCCAGGGGTCGCCCCGGGATCTGAGTGGGATGGAGGTGACCAGTGCAAGTCACTCTTTGAGGTCAGTGGATTTAATTTGGATAATATTCTTGTAATATGTTTGTGTTGGTACAGGACTTTTGTGTGTTTGTGTTGGTATGAGACTTTAGTGTCTTTGTATGTGACTATCGTGGCCCTTCAATTTTGACAAGCAACTGCTATAAGAGTATTAAATGTTTGAACCAAATTTATAGGGCTTATTACACCCAGCAAGTTAGTATCTACACTGGAGCATTTAGACTTAAGAGGCTATACTATTTTAAGTTGAAGGTGATTGTGTATTTTGTTTAGTGAGAGGGCTGTTTTAAAATTAAAAAAAAATGTTTTAATGCATAACATTTCAAGAAATATCATTCAAATGGCTTAGCAAGGTGTGTGTCCCCCCCCCCCCCCCCCCCATTTTTAAAATAAAAAAAAAATTTTTGATACCAAAAATTTTAAAAAAAAAACTTCAAAATGGTTTGAAAAGGGGGGTTCCCCCCCCCCCCCCCCTTACCATTGAGCTACACAACACTAACATCCTTTCAATGATATTATGAGATTAAATCTTTCCAGTGACAGTGGGAAAAAACAACAAAGAACTTGGAGATAAAAAAATGCATCTATTGTAAAAGGGAGTTGAATTATGTTGTATTATGCTGGCCAGTGCTGTATGGTCAATCAATTGAGAGTTTTTGCTGAATAAGTCTTTCAGCTGAAACCTCTTTGTCACTGTCTTTTGTCTTTTTTTCATGCTTTCACAATTATGTCCTTACAACTGAGTGTCAGTCAGAGCATATATCTGTTCATCAAGTGTATAAGTTTACATCTTGTGATACAGGTGAAGTACATGGGCAGGGCCAAGGTGGTCAGCAAGCGCCTCACGGCCGACTACATCGACGGCCTGGCCGAGAAGATGATTGCCAGAGAGGAGGACATGACGATGAGGAGGCTGGAAGAGAAGGAAGTGGAGCGAAAGAAACAGGAGGAGTGGGTAAGGTCATATTTTTTGGTCCCTGGTTTCACGGTGTCCTGGTCCAGTTGCACATTCTAACTCATACAGTTAACATAGATCCCTGTGATGATGGAATGACAACAGTATGTTAAAAATAGTTTTCTATCAAAATGCCTTCTATCAAAGTTACTTTAATGTTTGTTTATTAAAAAAATAAAGAAAAATTTGAACATGTATGAGCAGTATTCAAGTTCAAGTGGATAAAACCTGAATTAATGGAACAAAATAATTACCTTCATTCAGTAAAAAAATTACACAATAAGCAATGCATTATATATATATATATGTACAGGTATAAGGAAACAAATTGAATTTATTTTTTAAAATGCCATAAAATTGTTAAAATGGGGTATGCTAAAATCATTTATTGGTCATAAAAAAATAGTTATATATTTGCCTTCGATCTATTCAGAAAATATGTCAGTATGTCTTTTAATTCTATGCCACAACATTGACACATTTGAGCCAGCTGGTAGTTTTCAGACAAACTTGTATCCCTGGTATCACTGGGTACAATGGAATATTCTCTTTTCTAGGATGAGGAAAGACGCAGGCGCCATGTCAGTGGGTCCAGCGTCCAATCGCTGCCTGACACACTGGCCAATTCATCATCAGGCCTGACCACAGAAAATAAACTTGTTGAGCAAAAGAAAGTGTTTCAGGGGCCATCAGCGGCTAAAGAGACTCCCGCTGAACACACGCCAAACACACACTGCTCTGATGTGGTCTTAGAGAATTCCAGCAGCCCAGAAAATGTATCTTCTACTAGTCCTATTGCTGCATTTCCTTTCCTCAACACTACTCCAAAGTCCATCCTCGGTGAGTTTCCCTCAGACGGTGACTCCAGTAAGGAAAACCTCAATTCCTCAGGAGATTGTACATTGGTTCCCCTGGGCACAAGTCCACAGACCTGTCTGACATCACCGACGGTCAGAGACCCCCTGGGGGCCTTGTCTTTTGATGGAGATGTCTTCACTGCATCACCAGAATCCGGACTCGTATCACCTCTTAAAAAATCTGACCCATCCCGCAGGCGCCATTCGTCACACAGAGAGGAAGGCAACAGCTACACACACATCATATCTGAGAGGTTCCGCAGAGCCAGCGGGGATTCCCAGGACAGCGTGAGCAGCCTGCATGAGCCGAGTCGTGTCATGGTGCTCCAGATCAGTCATCATGACCTGGCGCTCATCAGTTTGGACAAAAAAGTGGCCATCTTGCAGTGCAAGTTCAAGGACATCTCATCTGTGTCACAGGTGAGTTTTTGAGAAAGGTTAACAGATTTTAGCCAGCTATTTGAATATTATTTAATGACTGAGAGAAATTTACCCTTAAATATTGAAGATTTGAATGTTTCATTTACCAATGTTAATATTATTTATGACGCAATGTGAAGTTTGAGACAAAAAAATTTGTTATTCTGTGAATACTGTATATCTGGAGGGATAAACACCCAGATGCAACATTTATTTACATTTGTAGATCATCAAAAATCTCTAGTAATTTCGTGGCTACATATTATACATGGAAAATTTTGCATGTTTTTTCCAGGGCAGCCTCAAGCAAGATATGTTTGGCATTGTTGCCAGAGAAGGCTCAACATTCATCTGTTACATACTCAACTGTCTGTCAGGGGCTGTGGTAAGTAACATTTAAATAACATTCAATAAACCTCACTGATCATAAAAGTGACATACATGCATACCATGTCAACCTCATGAATTTGAAATATCTAAAAAGTGAGTTGGTCATTGTGGATCCAATGAGTTTTTAAGTCTGTCAAAAAAAAAAAAAAAAAAAAAAAAAAAATACAAACAAAACCAAACCTTTCACATCCATTCTTCAAATGACTAAGTGATCTCTTTAAAGGAATTATTCCAATAAAATTTGATATTTTGATCCCACTAATAGTAAATTATAGGCCACGGGCTTGAAACAAAAAACCTTGGCCCAAGGTCATGGTGAACCAGACTAAACAACGGCTTTAATGGGGCCTCACGGAGACCATCAACAAAATTGTTATGACTGAAGATCTCGTGAGCCTGAGATTATGTCCTGGCTGTAAGAGCTCTCGTGGGCACCCACACTCAAAATACGCCTCTGATTAGGTGCAATTTGGTCTCTGGACAATTTTATGAAGCAGGATGGCTCTCTGATCAATAATTCACTATGTGAGACTTTTTACAGTGTTTGGAGACTTAAAAAAAAAAAAGTTGTGATTTACACTGTATTATTAACAAGTTGGGGAGTGAGGGGGGGAGGGGCCTCCTCTTGTGTAACAGCCAGTGAAATATTGAAGTATACACATGAAGTATTTTATTCAATGCTGGAGTTCTCAGAAATCAGTCTGTAAATTGACATATTGTCTTGTACAGGAAGCAAAACTACTGAAAAATGGTCAGTTAAATCCAATAGGGTTTTTAGGATAATATAAATCAGATAATGTGTGTCACATGAACAGAGTGTTTCAATCATGATTTTGTCTTTATAAAAAAAGTAGAAAATAATAAAAGAAATAAGGTAATATGTGTCACGTGAACAAATTGTGTCACTCATAATCTTGAATTTATAACCAGTGGAAATGATAAAGGATCCAAACAAAATAATTTTAGGTATGAATAACTTAAAATAGCATTGGTGATATATCTGTTTGTTATTCTGACCCATGTCAGTGTCTACCTGTTTTGATCTACTTTTCTGCCCAGGAAATGTTCTGTTGAACTGAGTAACAATTGTGGTAAAAAAGAAATTAAAAAACTAAGCATGAGAGTATGAGAGTCCACCAAAACTTAATCAAATACAAATAATACAATTTTTTAAATTAAAAATTTATTAATTAAAAATTTTATCAAATTCAAGGCGATTTTTAGTTACAATATTACAAGGATTGAACTAATTTCAAATTTATTAAGTCAAAAAATAATTTTAACATCCCTGGACTTGAATGCCTTTGTTGATTTACTTAACATTGGATTTCAACCTTACAACTTAGAAAAAACTGTCTGCAGTTATAGTGCTTTTTAAAAAATTAAATTCAAATCCCCCATTCCAATCCCTGGCATGTTAGAATTTTATCTTAAGTGTTTAGCCAGACCGATCATTTTCTTTTCTCTAGGAATGACAATTGTTTTCTCTAGGAATGATACTTGTTTTCTCTTGGAATGTTACTTGATTTTTACTTATTTTTACTTGTTTGCTCTAGAAATGATACTTGTTTTCTATAGGAATGACACATGTATTCGCTAGGAATGACACTTGTTTTGTTTTCTCAAGGAATGCTATTTGTTTGACCATCAACTTTTGTGTTGACAAAAAAAATGACATAACGCTGAGATATTTCCCTGTGTGTGTCTTAGGTTTCTGAGATCATGGGCACACTTCAAACAGCGTTTGCAGCTGCCTACAGCAAACAAGGTGCGGGGGCAAACACCGCCAACAGCAGCATGGCAAGCAGCACCACCGGCAGCACCACTGGCAGCACCACCAGCACACAGAGCGGCACACAGAACCAGGTCTGCACCATGTGCCCCCTGCACCAGCTCCACCGTCTGAGCCAAGAAATAGGCGGTAAGGGACATAATATTGTCCTGTTGTCCCACAATTGTTGCACTTGTTGTTCCACTGTTGTGGTACTTGTTGATTCCCTTGTTATATTTTTTGTTTCACCATGTATTATTGTTACAGGCCGAGCATGCACACAATGAAACGAGGTTTAAAAAAAAAAATGTGTTGCTTTTTTGGAATGACCTCTTAAGACATAATAATTGATTGTAGAATTATTTCCTTGACAACATTTTGGTTGCATTTGTAACTGTATAAAGCAGAACAGAAAAATAAAAGGGGGGGGGGGTTTGGTGTGGAGGAGGAGGTGGTGTTGTTGGAGAAACCAGAAGATGGGAAGTTTCTCTTTATTTCTGAGGTAGAGGAAGTAGAGGGGGATATGATTTAAAAATACTGCCTATTGATAACTACAGTGAAAACATCAACTTAATTTTATTATATTTTTTTTTTACACATTAGGAAATGAGATTCATGTTGATATTTTAACCTGACCTGATGCACAAAACTGAAAGGATAGGTAGCCTTTAAAGAATTGGTTTGCTCTGTTTTTGTTGCAGTTTTCTCAAAGCTGGTGGATTTTAAAAAAAAAAAAGTGTGATAATGTAAATAATGTTTGTAGTTGGAGAATTAAAGGAAGAAACTTTTGATTCGGATATCGGTCTGTCCAAAAATAGATTGTTGGCTAACTTTAGTTATACATCCATCAGAAGTAACTGTTGATCTGTCTGTTCAAAATAGATTGTTGGCTAACTGTAAATGTACCTCCATCAGAAATAGACTGTCCAGGAACTTCAAATATGCATAAATTTATGCTTCTGCCCATGTCTTTGGCCTGATTTTGGAATTTTTCTACATTGGCTGTGGCGAATCTAAATTATTAAAAATTAAAGATAGATTCTAGATTTCTAGCAAGATCCTTAGCCATAGATAGAAACCATCTAAACTCTAAACAATGGGGTAACATTTATGTGTTTTTTCTCTCTTTGTTTAGGCATGTCCCAGCAAGCTGCCCATGATCTGCTGGTCAAGAAAGTTCAACTCTTACCTGATAAAGAACTAAATGACCTCAATCACAAAATGCAGGTAGAACCAAAAGAAGACCCGACCTGTGCTGTTTGTACTGGTAGAAAGCCATCAACATTTGTTGCAACTTAAAGCATCAACAGCTTTTATAAGGCAATGTTACTAATTTTGAGTCAAGGGGCCCTGGTGGGTGGGTGGGGGGGGGGGAGGGGTAACAAAATTCAAAAAGGAGGTTGAAATTGGGGTGTTTGGAAATAACTAATTCAATGAGGGGTTTAGGCATTTGAGGCTACTGATCTAAGAGATGCCCATCGAAAAGTCACTGGGTAAGCATAAATTGTTGATTCATATTGTTTGTCCTTTTACTCTACAGATAGAGGCTCCTGAATCTTTTGAAGAGTCCAATGAGGTGATCATGATTTATCTGAGGCAGCTGTGTGAAAGGAAGCAGAAGGAACACTCACATATATCTGAGGGAAACAAGTCGAACAAATCAGAGGTAAGTTGTGAGCAAAAGGTGCACACTCGTATATCTGAGGTATGTTGTGAGGGAAATGTGCACACATGTATATATGAGGTAAGTTGTGAGGGAAAGATGCACACATGTATATCTGAGGTTAGTTAGAACAGAAAGGTGCACACACGTATATATAAGGAAAACAAGTCAAACAAATCTCAGGTAAGTTGTGAGGGAAAGGTGCACACACATATATCTGAGGTACATTGTGAGGGAAAGGTGAACACAGGTATATCTGAGATAAGTTGTGAGCAAATGGTGCACACTCATATATCTGAGGTAGGTTGTGAGGGAAAGATGCACACATGTATATCTGAGGTTAATTACAAAAGAAAGGTGCACACACGTATATATGAGGAAAACAAGTCGAACAAATGTCAGGTAAGTTGTGAGGGAAAGGTGCACACATGCATATCTGAGGTAAGTTGTGAGGGAAAGGTGCACTCTCACATATATCTGAGGTATGTTGTGAGGGAAATGTGCACACATGTATATCTGAGGTATGTTATGAGGGAAATGTGCACACATGTATATCTGAGGTATGTTATAAGGGAAATGTGCACACATACATATATCTGAGGTAAGTTGAGAGGGAAAGTTACACAGATGTATATATGAGGGTAACAATTCAATATATCACAGGTAATCTAAGAGTGACATGCCAGGGAACCTGACATATCTGAGGGACAAGATAGAAACACACACAGGCATCTGAGGGACAAGACAGAGGCATATAAACACGGAGCACGTGTAAAAGAATTCTTTATCCTACCGTCAGAAAGGATCATACAAATTTAGTCAGTTAAATGTCATCAGTTGTGGGAAAAGACAACAAATTTAGTATTCATAATTTATTTCTGGACAAAATACATTTTGTGGTTTAACCTGTCTGAATTGTTAGAATATGTTAGGAGGATCCAGTAGTAAATATATTAAGGTGTCTACAAAAGTTCTTCTCCTTTACAAAAAATGACACAGTACTTTATTCATCCCAATGCCCTTAAATAAGCCAATAAATGGGAGCTTTATCTCATCCTAATGTCCTTAAATATGCCAAATGAAAGGGAACTTCAGCTCATCCCAATCTCATTTAATATGCAAAATGAAAGGGAACTTCAGCTCATCCCAATGTCATTAAATATGCCACATGAAAGGGAACTTCAGCTCATCCCAATGTCATTAAATATGCAAAATGAAAAGGAACTTCAGCTCATCCCATGTCATTAAATATGCAAAATGAAAGGGAACTTCAGCTCATCCCAATGTCATTAAATATGCAAAATGAAAGGGAACTTCAGCTCATCCCAATGTCATTAAATATGCAAAATGAAAGGGAACTTCAGCTCATCTCAATGTCATTAAATATGCAAAATGAAAGGGAACTTCAGCTCATCCCAATGTCATTAAATATGCCAAATGAAAGGGAACTTCAGCTCATCCCTATGCCCTTAAATATGCCAAATGAAAGGGAACTTTAGCTCATCCCAATATCATTAAATATGCCAAATGAAAGGGAACTTCAGCTCATCCCAATGCCCTTAAATATGCCAAATGAAAGGAAACTTTAGCACAAGTCGCATGTATTAGGTCCGCGGCTTTCATATCTCAGTATTACAAAATTGACCTCTACTTTGCTCCATGAAATCCCCTTCTACAAGTCATTTCCACCAACCCTGACTGGCTAATTTCAACCAGCTATAATCCTGGCTGGTGCCGCTTGATCACCATTAGGACACGGCTTTTGACAAGTAATGGCCAGACTGTGGTTCTCTTTAAACCAGGGGGAAATTGCTGGCACAGGGAGGTAACCTAACAGTTGTTTTTGATTGTGTCCTGAGCCAGTGGCCTCAGCTCTTACCGATAATCTCCCCTGAGACTTTAACGCTAAGCATTAACCAGGATTCTGTCTGCCTTTCACAAGAAAGATTGAGACATAATTAATGTTCCTTTGCTTATTTTGATAAAGTAGAGTAACTTTAGGGATTTTTGCTGGTTTTTTTACACACAAAAAAACTGTTTTCTGACTTTTTCACATATCTCTGTTTTCTGCCTTTCCCACAATCTCTGTTTTCTGCCTTTCCCACAATCTCTGTTTTCTGACTTTTTCACATATCTCTGTTTTCTGCCTTTCCCACAATCTCTGTTTTCTGCCTTTCCCACAATCTCTGTTTTCTGCCTTTCCCACAATCTCTGTTTTCTGACTTTTTCACATATCTCTGTTTTCTGCCTTTCCCACAATCTCTGTTTTCTGCCTTTCCCACAATCTCTGTTTTCAGCCTTTCCCACAATCTCTGTTTTCTGCTTTTTTCACATCTCTGTTTTCTGCCTTTCCCACAATCTCTGTTTTCTGCCTTACCCACATCTCTGTTTTAGTGGTTTTATTTGGCTGATCTTTGCAAGGTAAGTAGGCATTAAAAACTTTGTATATAAGATTTAAAAACACATCAGTTATGAGAAGCTAATCAACTTCATTAGCCCTGAGTCAAATTATTATAGTAAGTATTCTTCAACTTTGGCATTGGAACACATGGATTAAATAAGTTGCTCAATCCACAGCGTTGGTGTTCGACCCTTTAATAGAAATTTACTCTTAATTCCTTCTAAACATGTAGCAAGTGCAATGTAAATGTCTTTGACCATATACATAATTTAAATATATTCAAGCTAGATGTGGGAAATGTCATGTGTTGCTTCTATTACCAATTCAGATCAATTTCTTGGAAGAAAAGACGAAACTGTTTGAAGGCTTCAGGAGTAAGGCTAGGAAAAGCTTGACCACTTCCTTTGAGACATTGCTCAGCAGGGTAAGTTAAGTAGTTCATGTGCCCTTTGTGACATTCTAGTTTGTCCTGATTAGTCATTTAATTATGTGTGCTGCTCATTAAATGAGTATGAAATTACTTCATTGCTAATGACAAGATTCCCAAATCTGAGGAGGTGTTCTGCCCCAGTAAGGGGCGCCATTATCAGTCAACTGCAGGGTTTTTTTTCTTGAAAGTGGGATGGCAAAAAATCTTCACCCTCCACCGACAAAATTAATCCTAGGTACGTCACCGATTGCTGGGGTCTCCAACCAGGACAATGATGAGCCGTTTAAAGTTACATATGCAGACCTGTTTATCCCTGCCCTTTAAAGTTAGAAATGCAGACCTGTTTATCCCTGCCCTTTAAAGTAGAAATGCAGACCTGTTTACCCCTACCCTTTAAAGTTAGATGTGCAGACCTGTTTACCCCTGCCCTTTAAAGTTAGATGTGCAGACCTGTTTACCCCTATGCTTTCTCCGTAATACCTACGTTTTTAAGCCTAACAATACCGGGCACAACATAAGCAATCTATTAATAACGAAATCCTCCAACAAATTGAAGAACCATAACTTGTACATTTTTATGTTAACATATATAAGGAGCTAAGCAGTTGAGGGTGTTTCCTGACACATCTTGTATTTTTGACTGTAAACAAAGACCTGTTTACCCCTACGTTTTCACTGTAGTAACTATGTTTTAAGCCTAGGACTTCGGCACAACGTAAGCAATCAAGAACGTAATCCTTCAACAAATCTTGTATTTTGATTGTAACACCTCTGATTGACCAAACTACTCTTTAGAGCTTGAAACTACGTTTTTGAGAGCTGAAAAATACTCTGACACTCACCTAGGGGTAAACAGGTCTGGATGTGAGTCTGAGCGATAAATAGTTCATATAAATTCACAGATGATGATGGCTCCCTTGAGGGAACACTCATCTAAACTTGGCCGTTTCATATAATCAATGTGCAATCTATTTTTATGTCAGGCCTTGTTCACATATCACCTTCTAGCATAATAGCGACTCCTTGACTGGGAAGACTCTTCACTTTATATAAATTTATTTGAACCACCAGAGCAAGAATAGATTCTTATTTCTGAAAATACTTGGATAAAACTAATAGCATCCATGGAAATGTCATGTTATTGTCAGCATTGATGTGTGCATGGGAGGATCAGATGTTCAGTCAGATATGCCCTTTACGATAGTATTTGCTCAGCCAGATATGCCCTTAACTACAATACTCATTCAGTCAGATAGGCCCTTTACTAAAATACTCATTCAGTCAGATATGCCCTTTACTACAATACTAATCCTTTCAGATATGCCATTTACTACATTTCTTGTTCAGTCAGATATTCCCTTAACTACAATACTCATTCGGTCATATATGCCCTTTACTACAATACCCATTCAGTAAGATATGCCCTTTACTACAATACCCATTCTGTAACATATGCCCTTTACTACAATACTCATTCTTTCAGATATGCCCTTTAAAATACTTGTTTAGTCATATATGCCCTTAAATACAATACTCATTCAGTCATATATGCCATTAACTACAATACTCATTCAGTCAGATATGCCCTTTACTACAATACTCATTCAGTCAGATATGCCCTTTACTACAATACTCATTCAGTCAGATATGCCCTTTACTACAATACTCATTCAGTCAGATATGCCCGTTATTACAATACTAATCCTTTCAGATATGCCATTTACTACATTTCTTGTTCAGTCAGATATTCCCTTAACTACAATACTCATTCAGTCATATATGCCCTTTAATACAATACCCATTCAGTAAGATATGCCCTTTACTACAATACTCATTCTTTCAGATATGCCCTTTAAAATACTTGTTTAGTCAGATATGCCCTTTACTACAATACTCATTTAGTCTGATATGCGCTTTATTACAATACTCATTCAGTCTGATATGCCCTTTGCTACAATACTCATTCAGTCTGATATGCCCGTTATTACAAGACTCTTTCTATCAGATATGCCCGTTATTACAAGACTCTTTCTATCAGATATGCCCGTTATTACAAGACTCTTTCTATCAGATATGCCCGTTATTACAAGACTCTTTCTGTCA